TGAAATATGACCTGGGTTCATAAAGACGCTCATGAACTCACTCAGGAAAGTTGGAAATCAAGAGCAGGAAAGGTAGAGTGACTTGAAATAGAGAATGAATGGAGAAAAAAAAGGATCCAAAGTAGATGTAAATAGTTTTGTTTGTGCCTTGTTGGCATTAATTGAGCTTTAAATGCTTCAAAGAATGAGAAATATGGACTTAAACTGACAACAGATGGTCACCATAACCTGCTCCAAACGTCTTGTGTTTACATCGAGGACCATGAAGCCTGTTTCTGTGGACAGACAGGACGTCCTGTAGCTGCTACTCGGTTTGTGATTCACTTTAAATCATGTTTTAGTTGCTGCGTACAGTATAATGAATCTCCACTACTTTAGTCTGGATTTAGATGATGTAATGAGAACGGCAGCCTGTTATTGGCTCCAATCCACATGTACTCCAGATTAAGTGAATTACAGCAAATCTGTACTAATATCCATGATACTCAGGCTAACATTGAGCAGATTTGTTTTTTTGTTTTATACAACCACTAAGAGGTCAAAGCTCACAAAATAGCACATGAAGTGTGAGCTAATGTCTTCCAGCAAAACAACTAATGCTTTTGATTCAAAATGACTGTCATACTCAACACCCTGGATGCAGTTTAAGTAGAATACGCTGTAATATCATGTCCATTGACAACTGTTGAACTCTAAAGATTAATCTTCAGCACTATGAAGCCATATGTATATGTAAATGCATTGTACACTTGATCTGTACAGAGGAGCTTGTCATGAACATTTCATGATGTTTGGAGGAAAGGGATTTATTGCTATATTAGCCGTTAGGATTTTCTTGAACACTAGAATGCTTGTTTTCTCTAAAAGAGTACTGGGAGTAAGATGTATACATTTTTTATACATTTGCTTTTTTATTTCTGGAACTGAATGTAATAATTTGTGAGTAACATGATTTGGTAACTCGGTTTTAGAGAGTAACATGGATTGTTTAGCACCTTATTAAAATCATTGTTTATGTTGGAGTACATTTGTCAAAGAAGCTTTTGCAAAAATACAGTTTGTTGATGCAACATTTCTGTGTAATCACGTTCATGTACGTAAAGCAGATCCAGAGTTGATTTGAAAGATAGAACTTCTTCCTGTCCTAGGGTTTTTCATTGTTTTTCTGGTGGTCGGTCTGAAGTGCTTATTTTTGACAGATCGGCAAACGAGACATTCGCCGAACCCCTTTTTGCTGGTTTCGCCTGTAAATGCATCACAAGATGGCAAAGTCAGAATCTCACTACATTCCACTTTTGGAGAAATGTGATTGGCTGTGGTTTGTTCCATGCTTGACCAATGGAAATGCAACAGACCTGAGACTCGTGAGGTTTCCAGCCAATCATGTAAAGGATCTGAAATGTAGCTGGAACCGAGCCGTCTTCATTGCCATACATCTCTATAAGAAATTACAATAGAATTACACGATTTCTAGTAACTTCAATCACATTCAGATAAATAAAACACGTTTCTACATCAGTGGTTCTAAATGACAAAGCTGCTCATTTTCAAATTTTTAATTTATTGAAACTAGGAATTGAAATATAATAAATCAATGAAAATAATTAAATTCCATAATTCCAATAACTGAATGTTCTTCATGGTTCACGCTTTTTATTACCAATTAATGTACAAGAATTTTCTAGTTTTTTACTCAGAAATAGCCATTTCAAAATGATAAGATGTTTTGGAGATTGACAGAATTATATAAATATATAAATTATATTTAATATAAAAAATGACTTAAATGTAAAAAACCGTAATATGTATATAAAAATGTAAATGACTTAAAATGTATTAGTTTCCATGACTTTCATGACACTTGTAATATTTGCTCATACAGTATATCCAGGTTTCCAAGATCATGAAAACCCTGATTCTTAAATTAAAATGTCAGTTGTTAAAGGAACAAATTAAGAAATATGATCTCAGCTTACATCTGGATTATAATTAAGCTTATTTTAAACCTTTGGTCTTATTTTAAATACTTTTACACCATATTGCAGCTCCCTGGTTAAGAACCACTGTTCTACCTAAAATTATCATTGTAGAAATTATAAATATATAATAAAATAAATACTATTGGAATTTAAATGGTCATTACACTGTTCATTTTAAAGTGCCCCTATTATGGATTTTTGAAAATTACCTTTC